AAAGAGGGGGCCCAAATAAATAAGATCAGAAATGAAAGAGGAGAAGTAACAGCTGACAACAAAGAAATACAAAGGATTGTAAGAAGATGTTACAAATAACTATAAGCCAACAAACTGGACAAGCCGTAAGAAATGAATCACTTCCTAGAAACATACAATCTTCCAAAACTGAATCAGGAAGAATCAGAAAATATGAATAGAGAGATTGCAACTAATGAAATGGAAGAAGTAATAAAAAAAAAATCCCAACAAACAGAAGTCCTACACTGGATGGCTTCACGGGTGAATTTTATTAAACATTCAAAGAAGAACTAACACCTATCCTTCTCAAACTATTCCAAAAAATGCAAGAGGAAGCAAGACTCCCAAGCTCATATTATGAGGCCATAATTATCCAATTCCAAAACCAGATAAAGACCCTACGAAGAAAGAAAATTATAGGTCAATATCCCTGGTGAACATAGATGTTAAAATCCCCAAGAAAATACTAGCAAACCAGATCCGGTAGTACATTAATAAGCTCATACACCGTGATCAAGTGGTATTTATTCTAGGGATGCAAGGTTGGTATAATATCTGCAAATCAATAAAGATATACATCATATAAACAAAATGAAGAATAAACATCACCTGATCATATCAATAGATGCAGAAAAAACATTTGATAAAAATTTAGCACTGACTTATGATATAAACTCTCAGCAAACTGAGAGTAGAGGCAACATACCTCAATGTAATAAAAGCCATGTATCACAAACCCACAGCTAACATACTCAGTGGGCAAAAACTAAAAATATTTCCCTTAAGATCAGGAACAAGACAGGAATGTCTGCTTTCATCATTCTTATTCAACATAGTACTGGAAGTCCTGGTCAGAGCAATCAGACAAGAAGAAATAATAGGTATTAAAATTGGAAAGGAAGAAGTAACACTGTCATTACATGCAGATGACATTATACTGTTTATAGAGAATCCTAAAGATTACAACAAAAAACCACTAGAACTGATGACTTCAGTAAAATAGGATACAAAATAAATATTAAGAAGTTAGTTGCATTTTTATGTACCAATAATGAACTATTAGAAAGGAAACTAAAAAAAAAATCCCATTTAAAGTTGCATAAGTAAAAATTCCTAGAAATAAATTTAACCAAGGATATAAAAGACCGATACTCCGAAAATTGTAAGACACTGAAGAAAGAAATGATGAAGATACAAATAAATGGAAGTATATACCATGTTCATGGATAGGAAGAAATAACATTATTAAAATGTCCATACTACCCAAAGCAATCTATAAACTAATGAAATTCTTGTTGAGATACCAATGGTGTGTTTCACAGAACTAGAACAAATATTCCAAAAATTATATAAAACCACAAAAGACCCTGAATAGTGACAGCAATCTTAAGAAAGAAGAACAAAGATGGACTAATTGCATTACCCAACATCAAAATATATTATTACAAGGCCATAGTAATCAAAACAGCATGGCATTAGCATAAAACAGATGTAAGAGGTCTGTCCAGAAAGTGTCCAGCCATGTACTATGAAAAATAGAGACATTTATTGAAGAAGATACAAGATACATGAATCATTGAACACAGGACAGTGACACCTCAGTCCTCTTCAAAGTAGGTACCTTGGGACCCCACACAGTTCTCCCAATCACTATCAGCTGCCCCATGGTATTTTCCTGAATCTCACTGGTGGTCTGAAATCTCTTTCCTTTCGAAGGTGATTTAAGTTTTGGGAAAAGCCAGAAGTTGCAGGGCACCAAATCTGGGCTGTAGTGGGCTGAGCCACCTGGGTGATTTGATGTTTCTCAAAAAATCTCTGCATGAGACATGGTGCATTAAGTAGGCATGTCGACATGATGAAGCTGCCAATCACCAGCTGTCCATAGCGGCGGCCTTCTGAATCATCTGAATAGTTTCCTCAGGGAATGTTCAAACTAAATGCAAAATTTGATGCGGATTTTTTGCTCTACTTGCTCAGTCATTTTGAATGTGACAACCACACAGTACACAGGCTCATTCAATGTTGTCTACTGCCCCCACTGACTAGTACAGTGAAGTCATCACTGTTCACACATGTGCATTCCAGTCCACTTGCCTTGACTGCCAGATTATATCAATGTCACACAAACCATTCTTGTTTTATTAACAATGGTTGGACTTTTTCTGGACAGACCTCGTAGATCAATGGAAAAGAAGAGAGAGCCCAGAAATAAACCCACACCATTATGGTCAATTAATATTTGACAAAGGAAGCAAGAATATACAATATGGTAAAGACAGTCTATTCAATAAATGGTGTTTGTATCTGTCCATTTTTCTGAAAATTGGACAGAAAAAATTTTCAGAAAAATGGACAGAAACATGCAAAAAATGAAAATAGACCACCTTCTTACACCATACACAAGAATAAACCCAAGATGTAAAACTTGAAACCATAAAAATCCTAGAAGAAAACATAGGTTGTAAAATCTCTAACATTGTTCGCAGCAATATTTCATCTGATATTTCTCCCCAGGCAAGGGAAACAAAAGAAAAAATAAACAAATGGGACTACTTCAAACTAAAGAGTTTTTTAATAGCAAAGGAAAACTTCAACGACATGAAAAGACAGCCCACTGAATGGAAGAATATATTTGCCAATGATACCCAAAATTTGTCTAAAAAAACCTTATAAAACTCAACACCAAAAAACTCCCAAACAATTCAATTAAGAAATAGGCAAATAACTTGAATAGACCCCTCTTCAAGGATACAGATAGCCAATATACATATAAAAAGATGCTCAGTGTCACTAATCATCAGGGGAATGCAAATTAAAACCAAGATGAAATCAGATATCACCTCACACCTGTCAAAATGGCTTTCACCAATAAATCAACAAACAACAAGTGCTGGTGAGGATGTGGAGGGGAGGGAACCCTGTGCACTGCTGGTGGTAATGCAGATTACTGCAGTTACCATGGAAAACAGTATGGAATTACCTCAAAAAATTAAAAATGGAATTGCCTTATGACCCAGTGATGCCGCTTCTGGGCATATATCTGAAGAAACCCAAAACACTAATTAAAATATATATATATATGCATCCCTCTGTTCATTGCAGCATTATTTACTATTTACAATAGCCAAGATCTGGAAGCAGCCCAAGTGCCCATCAATAAATGAATGGATAAAAAAAGCTGTGGTACATTTATACAATGGGATACTCCTTAGTGGTAAAGAAGAGGGAAATCTTACCTTTTGTAACAGCATGGATGGACCTGGACAGCATTATACTAAGTGACATAATCCAGTCACAGAAAGACAAGCATATGATTTTACTTTTATGTGGAATCTAATGAACAAAATAAACTGAGAAACAAAATAGAAACAGATTCGTAGATACAAAGAACAGACTAACAGCTGTCAGAGGGCAGGGAGGTTGAGGGATGGGTAATAAAGATGAAGGGATTAAGCAAAAAAAAATGCAAAAAACCCCTCATAGACACATACAACAGTGTGGTGACTACCAGAGAGAAAGGGGGAGGTAGAAGAGGGTAAGAGGAGGATAAATGGTGATGGAAGACTAGAACTGGGGTGGTGAACTTACAGTACAATTTACAGGTGATATATTATAGAATTGTACACCTACCTGAAACCGAAAGTGCTTTGTTAACCAATTTCACCCCAAGAAAGTAAATTAAAAACAGAAGAAGAAAACATGTCTCTTTATAAGGAAAAGAATTTCCTATGTGATTTAAATAAATAAGAATGGTATTAACAGACTCCACTGGTTAACTGTTGTTCAGCCTTACCAAGCCCTTTGAGTACACACAAATAATTGAAAACACAATAATAAAGAAACTAAGCTGAAAGGCAAATGAACTGTTTGAAATGGCTAACTGACTTTTTCATTGCACAATTAGGGCATTTTCAAGTATTAAGATGGCTGCTACTTTGAGTCAATATTTACATTTATATTCAAAAACAAAATAAGCATTCGATTGTGTCTACCAAATTTGCAGTATAGCATATTGTCAAAGAACTTAACAATTTTTAAAGCTTGATGAGTTACAGGGCATCTGACTTAATTTGGGTGGAATGACAGTGGGAACTAGAATGGGAACTTATTTTGAAACCCATTGGGAGAAGACTGAAAAATGTACCCTTGACTTTTTGACTTGTATAAATGTAGATTTACCCCTCTTCTTGACAAGGATGAGTTATAATTTATGCCCAGAGGAGAACAACAACAACAAAAGACATGGGGATTTGTGCTGTTGAGTGAAACCTGAGCACAGTTTGCCCCAGGTCAGTGTCTGCATTCCCCAGTCCAGCGGCACAGGCAGCACTGGGAGAAACTGTCGCACTGCAGGCTGGTGGAAGGGGAAGCGGGGGAGGGCCAGAGGCAGCGGCTGGTGAAGGCCCATGCTTGGAGGGTTTGTGTGGCTGCTTGTTACAAATTAGTAAGAAGACTGGGTAAGAAAATAAGGAAGCAGACAGGAAGACATTGACCAACTGTGGGTAGACATCAAAGGCCACAATAGAAAGTCAGCGGCTACATTTCCACAGCTTGGTGCTCAGCTCCTAACTGGGAGGGGGTGACTGGAGGAATTAAAACTGGGGAAAATCACAGAGTCACCTTAGTTAAGGGAGAAGTAGACAAAAGTATCTATTTGCAGCCATGATGGTATGGACACAGAGGTCAGGAAAAGCTCAGGGGGTTGCATACCCAGCAGCGGTGGCTGAGCCCCTGTCTCCACTGTGTCCCATCCTTGGGGAAGAGGGTGTGGAGGGAGGCAATGAGGTGGGGAGACAAAGGAAAGTGCATGATCGCCTCCGCATGACTGATTTATATGTTCTCAGAAACAATAATACACACATTGCTCATTCCCAGTAGTCAGCAATGCCTTTTGTATTTTTAAAAGTATTTACAAATGCTTAATTATTTACATGTAAAGCAGAATTGTATATTACAGTTTATGAGAAGTGAGAAAATACCTGGTCGTTGATATGTTCCTGGATTTTTCCTCTAGTCACTGAAAGAGAAAACAAAAAGAACTTTAACAATCAAGTATACGAATGAATAAAATGCAGTACTAGTTTTGCTCTGTTCTCACTCAAAACTCCAATAGCAGTCATGGGCTCTCTGAGCAAGGATTTGTATCATAATATGAACATTCGCAACCACTCCAATAACTGGAATGAAAAAAAGTCAAAACCTAAAGAAACCACAGTTGACAAAGTTAATGAAAAATGAAATGGACCAGAAATGGTGATACCAGAAGGATGTATTAAACTCTGGCAGAGAAACTGTGAAGAGATGAAAAGGACTAAAGAAAAATTTGAACATTTTCCAGTCAAAAGTTTCTGAAAAACAACAACCTGTTCAGGTAAAATACTAACACTGAGCTTATGCAACCCCAAGGACCAGACAAGGATATTTAAAGGGGCAGATGGCAGAAGTGTTACTTTTAAAATCTGTTTTCTTATCTGTGAAGGTGACAAAGACATTACTATGCTTTGTTGTTATAGTACTGCTAGAGATTATTAAAGTACAAACCGATAGTTCTATAAATGCTATCTTGGTCAGGATAGAAACAAGTCAGAGTAACATATAAAGGCAACATAGGGATATAAATAATAAAGATTCCAAAATAATAAACCTCAGTCATTGTGAAAATAGCCTGAGAGTGATCAATGTCATGTATGTCTCAAACAGAAGGAAAAGAATCCTTAGTAAAAATAAATAACTAAAACCACCAGGAAAGAAAGGAAAGAAGTAATGCTGTGGCACCGCAGTTATTACATGCTTGTGAACATCTTGGTGTGAGATATATACTTTATTAAACATGTTCTTTTAAAATTTTAATTAAGGCAATTGTGCAGTCTCATGCATTGGTAGGAAATAACAGACGGATCATGTCTGTGTACCCTTTCCCCAGATTCCCCCAGTGGTGACATCTGAGTGACCTAGAGCACGGTACCACTGCCAGGACACGACACTGACACAGTCAGGACAGAGCACCTCCCTCACCACAAGGGCCCCTCACATTGTCCTCTTATAGCTACACCCAGTTCCCACGCCCACATTTTAAGCAGCCACTCCTGGCTCTGGCTCCGGCTCCCTAGCGAAAGGAAAGGTTCACGGGTTAAGAATCCTTAGGTGGACCATCTTAGGGCCTGAAGTTGGCTGCTGATGAGTTCTGAACCATACCAGCTACTTGGCTTTGTGCTAGCAGCCCTTTTTGTATTAGTCCCCAGTTAATTTTCCAAGAGTTTAGAGTATCCTATTAACAGTCATTACGTCAAAGGTCTTTTTTCCCTCCTACTTTATTCATCTGTAGTATCCTAGTACTGTATTAGGAACCCAATAAGTATTCAGAATTGTGGGAATTGAAGGACAGAGAGTAAGTTCTAGATAACTTATAACATCATGTTTTACAATTTTCCTGAAGATCAGCATTATTTTAATTGCTCTTTTGGTGTGAATTTACCCAAATTTCTACCATTTTCTTTCTTTAAACTACTATTTACTAAATAGTTTCTTAGCACAGCAACAGTGAACATAGAGGCCTCTTTTGAATCGCATCGCATGGTGTATGTAATTAGGGGTCAGGGGTGGCGGCTGCTGAGCAGCACCAGGGCCGGCTTAACCTGAGGGCGCTGGGTCCAAGCAGGAGCCCAAGGCACAAACCCGGGCTGTGTCTTGGGAGGACAGGACAAGCTGGATACAAGCTTTCTTGGTAAAGGTCAGAAGGAGTCCAGGGTATGTGGCATCTGTCCAAATAAAGAAGAGGAGGGTGACTGTCGGTTATGTAAGCAGCAGGGAATGGTATCTATACTTTGGAGAGATTTAGGTGCCAGGTTGTATACCACTCAGGGAACAAGGCAGGAGCCTCGCTGGGGGACTGAGAGGTAAGGCAAGGGCTGAGTGAGAAGGTAACAGGCAGCCTTCCAGTTACAGAGGTCAGGCAATTGGTTGAGAATCACAGGGACTTGGGAGCCAACTAGACCATTTCTGTGAGTACAGATATTTAAATATGATAATTATCTCCTCCCTTGAGCTCTGAAAGGTTGCATAAATTAAAACACATAATTATATAATTATATTGTGGCCCTAGTCCTTGTGATTGCTGCTAATGATAATTTTTTTCTCTTGCTTATGGATAGTCACAGCCTGGTGGAGATGTAAATGTTCCCTGGCCGATGCACGAAAAAAGGAGGGAATCCCACTTAAAACCGAAGTCATCCCCAAATTTATTCAAATCATATGTGAAAGAGAGGAATGGAATTTAGGGGATAAATTTTAACTGCATAAGCCATTGCTAATAAAAGATTAAGAAGTATGTGGTTTAGCATCTTTTAATTATTTTTTCTAGCATCTTTAATATACAATGTTTGAAATCTCTGGTTGGATCAACATTATTTTGCTCAGAGGTTTGTGGACTTTGCATACTGATTCTTTCCTGTTTCCAAGTACATTTGCTTTTAGGCTATTTTTATTCACTTTAAAGGAATTTTAATAACTTTCTGTTGACAGCATGGACAGCTGGTCTTGAGAATTAAAGAAAATTCACTTGCTGACTGAGGAAGGAAGTGACATCAATGAGCTTCTAAAGTCAGCCCAGAGGGGGAAATTGGCTTGTGAGAGAGTAGCCTTTCATTGCACTGTATTTATCGAGAGATGCCTTGAGATGCAAATTGCTGTATCAATCAAACCTATGGTGCCTACCTCCAACCAACTTAGTGCAAACTGAAGGAACGCTGAGAAGTAAAAGGATGAGAAGTGCAGGAGCCTAGGGGCTAAGTGAATTACGGGAGCTCAGGATCCCCCCTTTCTGTGCTGATACTTCATTTTCTGTCAAGCCTCTTTGTCTCGAAAATGAGTTTGATGTAAACTGTTAGTTGGAGTTGCCCTTTTTCTATGACAGACAGCTAATAAGAACACGTCCTTATATATACGTATATAGTGCAGACTTGTTATCATGTCACTTTAACCCAAAGAGTGTTTTCAATTGCTTTTTATCCCCCACTGAGAGCTATCTGGAAACAGGGATATTTAGGTGTCATAAATAGCGACTCCTTTGACATCTTGATATTTTTACAATCGGTATTCATTGCTTATAACTCTACCACAGGAAAAAGTTAGGTACCAGATCTGGACTTTAAATAATAATGACAATAGTTATAACAGTTATCATTGTCATCACAATGAATGGCTTAATTCTTTGCCACCATCAGACCATCCAATTTTCCTCTGGAGCTGCAGTTATCCTTTTCAAAGATAACCAGGTTGCAAGTGCATAGAGTGTATATGTGTGTGGGTTGTGTATTGTGAACGTGAATGTTTGCATGCATATACACACACCAGTGCGAAAGATAGGAAGAAAAGTACCTACCTGAGTTTTATGGTTGTGAGCCCTGGCTAGTGTGGCTCAATGGATATAGCACTGGCCTGAGAACCAAAAGGTCACCAGTTTGATTCCCAGTCAGGGCACATGCCGGGTTGTGGGCCAGGTCCTCAGTTGGGAGTGTGCCAGAGGCAACCAAATGATGTTTCTCTCCCTCTCTTTCTCTCTCCTTTCCCCTCTTTCTAAAAATGAATAAATAAAATCTTTAAAAAATAAACTATGGCTATGACCTGAAAAATTAAATTGATGACTATTTATTTCTTAGCTCATTATAGAAAGTGTCTGAGGTGGTTATGGTGATAGTTCAATCACAGTTAAATAATTTGAGTTTGAGTTAACACTCTACAGTCAAATAGAATTTAATTTAGCTCAAAAGATAAGTTTATCAATGCTGGCTTCTTTTCCTTATCTATAAAAATATTGCTGTTATTCCATTAAGTTTTCAAATTATATGAGCTTAAATATGTAATTTGAATCACTCAAAAATATTGGTTAAGTGAAAAAGAACAGATGAGGTCTCAACAGCTGTAGTCTTTAGGCTAAAGGCCAAGCTCAGACACCCTTTGATTTTCTCAAAACTCACCTTTTGATCTATAGTGAATTTTAATGCATGTCTATTTTGAACAATACGCTAGATGCTTTGGAGGTATAGAAGTAAAGTAGAGGAAACATGGTGAGCACACTAAAACATAAGAACATGAAATCATGGAGCTATAAAGAATTTATTGGTAATTGTACAGTCAGTCAGGTCAACAGGTACTTAAATCTTGATATAGTAGAAATAAAAAGTGTAAGCAGCAAACTCCTTTGGTGATTATTTTTTTTCCGATCTGACACCAAAAGCAAAAACAAGAGAAGCAAAAATAAATAACTGGGACAACACTGAACTAAAAGGAAATCATCAATAAAATGAAAGGTGACATATGGGAGAAAATATTTGCAAACCATATATTTGGTGAAAGTTTAATATCCAAAATATATAAAGAACTCATATGACTCCAGAGCAAAAAACCCAAATAATTTGATTTAAAAATGGGCAGATGATCTGAATATACATTTTTTCAAAGAAGACATACACATGGCCAACAGGTACACAAAAAGATCAGAGAAATGAAAATCAAAACCGCAGTGAGATATTACCTCACACCCATTAGAATGACTATTATCAACAATACAAAAAATAACAAGTGTCTGTGAGAATGTGGAAAAAAGGTGTGTTCCCTGTTGGTTGGAATGTAAATTGGTGCAGCCACCGTGGGAAACTATGGAGGTTCCTCAAAACATTAAAAAATAGAACTACCACATGATCCAGCAATTCTGCTACTGGATATCTATCTGAAGAAAACAAAAACACTAGCTCAAAAAGATATAAGCACCCCTGTGTTCATTGCAGAATTATTTGTAGTAGCTAAGATATGAAAACAACCTAAGTGCCCATCGATAAATGAATGAATAAAAAAATGAAGTATTCATATACAAAGAAATATTATTCAGACATAAAAAAGAATTTGTGATTTGTGACAACACGGATAAACTTTGAGGGTGTTCTGCTAAAGGAAGTAGCACAGACAAAGACAAATCCTTATGATCTCACTTGTATGCGGACTCTGAAAAAGAAACAACCT